GCAGTGATTTAGTCATCTACACACACACACACACACACACACAATCTCTCTCTTTCTTACACATATACATACACACACACACACACACACCTACCCCAATATACAGATCAATGGTAGCCTTTACGTGGAGAGACAAGAAGCTGTCATGCAGTGATACATTCATACACACACACACGCACACACACACACACAACAATCATTCATCCAAAAAAGACTCACACTTTCTCACACACTAACTCTCTCTCACACACACACACACTTTCTTACATGCAAACAGACACACGCACTCACTCACCCACAATCACACACACATGCATCGACAGGCACACACAATTACAGACAGGCACACACACACACACACACATATATTCTAAATCACACACACCGACAAACAGAGAGACACACGTTTTCACACGCAATTATATACACACACTCACTCTTTCGCGCACACACACACTTACATACACACACTCACTGTTTCACACACACATACATACTCACTCTTTCACACACACACACACACACACACACACAAACACACACACTTATATACACACACTCACTCTTTCACACACACACACACACTTATATACACACACTCACTGTTTCACACACACACACTTATATACACACACTCACTGTTTCACACACACACACTTATATACACACTCACTCTCTCACACACAGACTCTCTCATACACACACTCTAACGCTGTCTCTCTCACACACACATGCTTTGATTAAGTTAATTCTGCTGGCATTTAATTAAGATGAAGGGAGATTGTCTGTCCATCATTCCATGATGTTTGTGTGTTCTCTGCCTGATTTTGACCTCAGATCAGCAGCAGCATCAGTTCTGCGTGTAACTTATGAGATTTAATATAGAATAAATGTAGAATTATTTTACTTCTGTCTGTTTCTTTTCTGTGACGGGGCTTTTAGTGGTCGATCTTGGTTATAACATTAACAGACTGTACAGACGTCTGCTACAAAAACACTCCATTCAGTCAGTCATTCTCCTTCAGCTTAGTCCCTTTATTAATCAGGGGTCACCACAGCGGAATGAACTGCCAACTATTCCAGCATATGTTTTACACAGCGGATGCCCTTCCGGCTGCAATCCAGTACTGGGAAACACCCATACACACTTAATCACACACACTCGTACACTACGGCCAGTTTAGTTGATCAGTTCCCCTATAGCGCATGTGTTTGAACTGTGGGGGAAACCGGAGCACCCGGAGAAAACCCACGCCAACACGAGGAGAACATGCAAACTCCACACAGAAACACCAAATGACCCAGCCGGGAAGGTTCGAACCAGCGACCTTCTTGCTGTGAGGCCACAGTGTTGACCACTGATCCACCATACCGCTTTATTATTATTATTATTGTGTATTATAGGTATTTATTGACCTGAGGCTTTCAGATGTGGATTTAATAACAATAAAAGCATCATCATTACTAAAACGTCTTCTGTTTGAGAAATGTCTTTAGACAGGTAAATGGGCAGTTCATGTCATTTACATTTATTTCCGGTGGTTTTTGTAATTAATTTATAGCTCTGTGTTGTTTATAATATTTATTGTTTATTTTTATTATATATTTAAATATTTTTATTTATCTTTAATACATATAATAATTTGTTTATTATGATTATTATCATTATGATGATTGTGATTTTAATTATTATTATTAATATGCAATTATTATCATTCATTCATTCATTCATTTTCTTGTCGGCTTAGTCCCTTTATTAATCCGGGGTCGCCACAGCGGAATGAACCGCCAACTTATCCAGCAGGTTTTTACGCAGCGAATGCCCTTCCAGCCGCAACCCATCTTTGTAAAACACACACATACACGGAGACCATGCAAACTCCACACAGAAACGCCAACTGAGCCGAGGTTCGAACCAGCGACCTTCTTGCTGTGAGGCGACAGCACTACCTACTGCGCCACTGCTTAACCCTATTATTATTATTATCATCATCATCATCATCATCATCATCATCATCATACAATTATTATTCTAAATAAATAACAAAAATCAATCCTAAATGTAACTGAAATATTTCCCAAATGATGTTGAACAGATTGAGGAAATGTTTACAGCATGTCTGATAATATTTTTTCTTCTGCAGAAAGTCTTATTTGTTTCATTTCGGCTAGAATAAAAGCAGTTTTTAATTTTTAAAAAATCATTTTAAGGTCAATATTATTAGCAATTTTAAGCTATATATATTTTTCGATTGTCTCCAGAACAAACCATCATCATACAGTAACTTGCCTAATTCCCCTAACCTGCCTAGTTACCCTAATTACCCTAGTGAAGCCTTTAAATGTCACTTTAAGCTGTATAGAAGTGTCTTGAAGAATATCTAGTCTAATATTATTTACTGTCATCATGATGAAGAGAAAATAAATCAGTGATTAGAGATGAGTTATTAACACCGTTATGATTAGACATGTGTTGGAGAAATCTGCTCTCTGTTAAACAGAAATTTAGGAAAAACAAACAAGGGGTGAATAATTCAGGGGGGCTAATAATTCTGACCCCAACTATATGTGTAACATGACTGTTCAGAATGAGAAGCTTCTCTCTGCGTTTGCTTTACCCCAGTTTGCAAATGTAAGAGAACTTTGATCATTCCCATGTAGAGAACATTCAGGGTCTCTGTCTTGTTAATGTACGAAACAGATCTGACACACACACATGTTGTTTGCAGTATTGAATGCAAAAACTGTGAAGCTCACTATCTCAAAATCCTCTAGAACGCAGATAGCACCTTATTATTCCAAGGTAAAGACTTATTTTAATGCATTCAGATGTGGATCTTTAAGATGACAGTGTACTCTACAGAGGTATGCTAATTAAATGCCTTGATTTACACGTAAAAACAAAAAAAAAATCGGCTTTTCAGAGAACATCTAAAGAGAAATCTTAATGGAAACACAGCTTTTTGGATATTTACTCAGGCTGTATTATTGATTTATTATTATTGTATTGATTGATGAAATGTGCAGGATATTGCGCTGTTTGTCCAGCAGGTGGCGCGCGCGCTCTGGGCGCGGAGGTGAAGTCTAGAAGGGATACAGCTGTAGATACGCACATCCATATAGCATCACTTCTGTAACACTGTATAACAATAATTCATATTTTTATCGTGCTGTGAGGGTTGGGTTTAGGATTGGGGTGGGGCTAGACGTTAATAAAATACAGTAAAAGAGACATTTAATAAATTATATTATTATTATTTTTAATTGAATGCTTGAAAAAAATGAACAACAAATGTCATCAATCAAACAACAACAATCTAGAGGTTTTCAGTCATTTAGTCTAACATAAGAGTCTAGTCCTTCATCAAAGTTCTTGTTCGTATTGCATTTAAGTTTATTGATCGATCAATAGACTCTAAATACATTTTCATTTCAATTTTAAACAATAAAAACTGTTTACACTTACAAAACTTGCTCTTGTGAATATGTAAATAATTTTAGTTCACTTGTCTGATCTATAAACAACCGGACGCGGGACCGTGCGCGTTCACGCCACCTGTATGGAAGTGACGTATGACGCCAACATGTTCACTGCGTCACGAAAAACAGAACTCGAGGGAGAGTAGAGCGCGCCAAACACAAGCTTCTGCTCACGCACACATCCGGTCGCGGGCACGAGCATGTAAACACAAGACTTTTATTTTTATTTTTTATTCAAAAATGTAAATTAACAACCACAATCAGGAGATCAATATAATAGAGATACAAAAGAGAAAAAATACAAACATTAGCCGCAGAAAGAAAAAAAAGACTAACAAAACAAAGGAAAGGGTTAGTAAGTGTATGAAAATCAATAAAATAAGAGCATTACAGGTAATCTGTCTAACGCAAATCAGAGTCATGTAAACACAAGACGAGTCAGAAAAACTGACCTACACATACACGTTTATTAACCTTATATATCTTCCCCTCTGGCATATATTTTGCTTTTGTTTGCTTGTTTTGGGGTAAATAAACCTTAGTTTGTGTATTTTATTTAATGTTTTATGTTGTTGCAACTTCATTTATTGTTAACCGTCCTGATATCATTAGAAATTAGGGGGAAAATAAAGAAAATAGACTTTCTAACAACATTACCTTACCTTAAAGTGTCGATATATGTTGTGTTTGCCTATATTAATGATTTATAAAATTGCCTATAACAATAAACTCAACCTTGAGAAGGCATTGCTTTGTATAATATTGTGAGTATGTACCATTTAGTTTGTATGTTCTGTTTGAAACAATAAAATAAATAAACAGTTCTCCCAGTACTGGGTTGCAGCTGGAAGGGCATCCGCTGCGTAAAACGTATGCTGGATAAGTTATTGGTTCATTTCGCAGTGGTGACCCCTGATTAATAAACGGATTAAGCCGACAAGAAAATGAATGAATAAACAATTTAAATAGTTTAAAGTCCCGCGGGCCCCAGTGCGCCCCCTGCCGGCGAAAACGCTCAGAGGCGCGCGGATGACCGCAGTTTTGACTCTGGGGCGCCCCGAAGCCTGAAGCAGATCGAGGATAAATAAGGGACTAAAGATGGCGACGGTGGAGGATTCATGGCAGAAATTCGCATCCAAAACTTCCCTTCGGAATCCAGAATCCAGCGATCCAGTGTGGCAGTGAGAGCCGAGAGCCTGAGCCCCGCATCCGCTGCTCCGTGACCGGCTCCAGCGCCACACATCCCGCTACCGTTACCGGAGAAACACCGCGGAGTTTGGACGAAGCGACACCGGACCCGCTGATGATGATCCCGGGCTGAGCTTCGCGTCTGCTGCATGGAGGCCGCTGGAGGGAGTCTGTCCGCCCCGCTGGAGCAGTGATTTGGGTCGGAACTTAAACCCGAAACCGATCGCGATGTATTTTCTGAGCGGCTGGCCGAGGCGGCTCCTGTGCCCGCTGCGGAGCGACGAGCGGCCCTTTCGGATCGAGCCCAGCGCGCAACGCTTCTACCTGGCTGTGCTGTCCGAGACCCAGATCAGCATCTGGTTCAGCAGGGTAAGAAACGGCTTATCTCTCCTGCTTTAGATCGGTTCACGGTTCGAATCCCTCCTAGTCTTTAAATGTAAACTACTGTTGTTACGGTTGTCTTCGTGGTTTGAGGTTTAAGTTTGTCAGGTTGTTTAGTGGTTAAAGATCATATACCTGTAGGTAGTAGGTTCGAATCTCTCCAAGTCTTTAAATGTAAAGACGTGTAATTTAAAGGTCTGGGTTGTTATTGTTAACTTAGAGCTTTGAGGTTTAAGTTTGTCTAGTTGTTTAATGTTTAAAGACTGTATACCTTTGTAGGTTGTAGGTTCGAATCCGTCCATGTCTTTAAATGTATTCTAGTGTTGTTACTGTTATCCTAAAGGTTTGAGGTTCTAATTTGTCTAGTTGTTTAGTGCTTAAAGACTGAATGTCAGTGCTCCAGATAATTCAGCTATGTTTGCCCAAACCACGCTTTCAAGCTATTAGATCTTTGTAGGTTGTAGGTTCAAATCCCCCCATGTCTTTAATGTTAGCTAGTATTGTTACTGTTACTGCTATCATGTTAGAGGTTTGAGGTTTAAGCTTGTCTAGTTGTTTAGTGGTTAAAGATTGTATACATTTGTAGGTTGTAGGTTTGAATCTGTTGATGTCTTTAAATGTGTTCTAGTGTTGTTACTGTTGTGTGTCAGTGGTCCAGATAATTCAGCTATGTGTGCCCAAACCACGCTTTTAAGCTGTTAGATCTGTGTAGGTTGTATGTTCGAATCCCATCAGGTCATCAAATGTTATCTGATGTTGTTACTATTATTACCTTAGTGTTATGAGGATTCAACTTTGTCTAGTTGTTTAGTGGTTTAAGGCTGTATACCTTTGTAGGTTCTTTAAATGTAAAAACGTATGATTAAAGATCTGTGTTGTTACTGTTAACTTAGAGGTTTGAGGTTTATGTTTGTCTAGTTGTTTAGGGGTTAAAGACTGAATACCTTTGTAGGTTGTAGGTTCAAATCCATCCATGTCTTTAAATGTATTCTAGTGTTGTTACTGTTATCCTAAAGGTTTGAGGTCCTAATTTGTCTAGATGTGGTTAAAGACTGAATGTCAGTGGTCCAGATAATTCAGCCATGTTTGCACAAACCACGCTTTCAAGCTGTTAGAACTGTGTAGGTTGTAGGATCAAATCCTTCCATGTCATGAACTGTAATCTAGCGTTGTTACTGTTATCATCCTAGTGGTTTGAGGTTTAAGGTTGTCTAAATGTTTAGTGGTTAAAGATCTTATACCTTTTAGGTTGTAAGTTCGAATCCCTCCATGTCGTTCAATGTAAAGATGTGTGATTAAAGATCTGGATTGTTATTGTTAACCTATAGGTTTGAGGTTTAAGTTTGTCTAGTTGGTTAAAGATTGTATACCTTTGTAGGTTGTAGGTTTGAATCTGTTGATGTCTTTAAATGTATTCTAGTGTTGTTACTGTTGTGTCAGTGGTCCAGATAATTCAGATAATTCGCTCTCAAGCTATTAGATCTGTGTAGGTTGTAGGTTCTAATCCCACCAGGTCTTTAATGCAAATTAATGTTGTTACTGTTATCATCTTAAAGGTTTATATTTGTCTAGTTGTTTAGTAGTTAAAGATTGTATACCTTTGTAAGTCATAGGTTTGAATCCCTCCATGTTTGTAAATGTACACTAGTGTTGTTGCTGTCATCACAGTGGTTTAGAGTTCTAATTTGTCGAACGTTAGTTGTATAGTGGTTCAAGACTGAATATCAGTGGTCCAGATAATTCAGCTAAGTTTGCACAAATCTCAGTTGTAAGCCATTAGTTCTGTGTATGTTATATGTTTGAATCCCTCCACTTCAATACATGTAAAAAACTGTGATTTAAAGGTCTGGGTTGTTACTGTTATGCTAAAGGTTTGGGTTTCTAATTTGTCCAGTTGTTTAGTGGTTAAAGATTGTATACCTTTGTAGGTTGTGAGTTCAAATCCCCCACATCTTAAATCTAAGCTAGCGTTGTTACTGTTATCCTAAAGGTTTGAGGTTCTAATTTGTTTAAAGGCTGAAGAATGGATGATAACTCAGATAATTCAGCCCAGAATCAAACTTGCAGAGACCACGGTTTCAAGTTATTAGATCTGTATAGGGTGTAGGTTTAAATCCCTCAAAGTCTTTAAATTTAAACAAGTGTTACTAAAGATCTGGGTTGTTACTGTTATCCTAAAGTTTTGAGGTTCAGATTTGTCTAGTTTAGCGTTGAAATACTGTATATTAGTCATCCACATAATTCAGCTATGTTTGCAAAAATCACCATTTCAAGCCTTTAGATCTGTGTAGGTTGTAGGTTTGAATCCCACTATGTCTTTAAATGTAAACAAGTGTGGTTAAATATCTGGATTGTTACTGTTATCCTAGAGGTTTGAGGTTAAAATGTGTCTAGTTGTTTAGTGGTTAAGCCTTGTATATCTGTGTAGGTTGTAGGTTTGAATCCCTTCAT